CCTCTCCTCCTCTTCTCGCCGCAGCTGGAATCGCTCCAACTCGCGCTCGCGCCTCTCCCACGCCTGCTGGTGGCGCTCCTGCTCCAACTCAATCGCCGCGTACGGATCGCCCATGACGACAGACCGCGCGGCTTCTTGGCCTCCCTCGTCAACGCGCAGGCTCTGGTCGTCGAGAGAAGGCAGGGCCTCGTCGTTTGAGTCGAGGTCGACCTCGCGATCCTCACTTGCGTCGAGGCCGCCCTCGTGACCAGGGCCGCGGGTATCCTGCCGTGCCCGCGCCCGCGACCGCGACCTCGCGGCTTCCCGCCGCCGCGGCTCCGTCCGCCTGGGCGGCAGGCCTGGCCGCAGCCCTCCGGCGAGAAGCGCCGCCGGCCGCGCAGCGCGCGGCGCACCAGCAGCGCCGCCCCCGCCCGGCGCGGCGCCGGCGGCCGGAGCCGAGCTGCCCGCGCGCGGCGCGGCCGGCGCGAGGGGTGCTGCCGCGTGCACGGGCCGCGCGCCAGGGCGCCAGGGGCGACCAGGAAGGCCTCGGCCGGGGTGCCCGCGGCCGCTCGGGCGCGGGGGCCAGGGCCACCGCCGGGTGGGCGGGCGCGGCCCAGCGCCGCGCTGCGCCAAGATGCTGACGTCCTCCTCGCTGGACACGTCGCCGGGGGCGCCCGCGGAGGCGGCGGGCTCGTCGACGTCGACGCACTCCTCGACCGTCAGGGTGCCGACGACGCGCCGCACCTGGGCGCGGCGGGCGTGCCGCTGCAGCCGCCGCTGCGCTCGCGCGGCAAAGTTGAAGGCGACGACTTCTAGCTCTCGTCGCTCTGCCCCTGTCGCGGGGCGGTCCACCTCCATGGTCTCATCGCCGTCGAGAGCAGCGTGGGCTGCGGCATCCTCGACAGAGTCCCCATTGCCATCTGTCGCCTCGGTGTAGTCAGCCTCGGCGACGCCCGGCATTCTCTGGTCGACCTGTGGTTGCGTCGCCAGCACACACAACAGCTCAACCGCAGTGACCCTTGGCCGAAGCCTGCCTGCATTCCCACGCCCCAACGCCCTTCTCTTGAATTGCTTTATCTGATTGGGCCGTGGGACGCCTTGAGCCAATGGCTACGCGGAAGCAACGCGTTGTTGCACGGACGCGCGATTGAACGTCTGGAACCACGCCTCGCAGACGACTTCACGCAAAGCAGTCGGGAGAAGACTCGAAGATCTGGGCCGCGCGCGCGGAAGCCGCAGAGAGTTCTCGAAAACCTTCTGGCAGGCTGTTGGAAAAGGCTGCGGTGCCGATTGGAGTCTCTTGAAAACCACTGCGGGGCTTTAGGGGCATTACTTGAGCCACTTCGTACTCATAGGAATCCCTCCGGAGCCGTCAGGAGACCCACTGGAGCCATCGTGAAAGACTCCAAGGCCTTTGGCCATCTTGAGGGGCCTAATTACGGGAACTTTTTCGGGCAGCCTCAGCCCCTGTCGAAGACATCGGATCCCTCTCTTGGGGGGCCCTGGGTCCCTGCATGGGCTTCTCGGGGGACTTCTGGGGCCCTGCCGAAGCCCTGTGGGCCTCGCAAATCAGACTCCAGCATACAACGATTTGAAACGAGGTGTAATCATGTAAACGCTTGGAGCTTCCAGACGACATTGTTCCAGCGGCCTTCTGTTGCCTTCTGGCGAAGCGCCTGGCGCTGATGTGAAGCCTCATGAATCATGACACTGTCTGGGACACTACTGGAGCCCTCTAGGCAATCTTGAAAGCCGTGTTCGCTACCCAGACATCCGGCTGCTCCAATTTTTCCGATGCATCGGTCCCGGAGGTCTGGGCCATTTCTCCGGGACCGGTTTTTTGTCCTGAATCGTTGTTTGACGGTCCCGAGGCCCGGCGAGGGCCCCCCAGAGGCCGAAAACGGCCACAAGCTGCCCACTCCAATCCCACCAGCCCTCTGGGCGCAGGTGGTCTAGGGCGTTTCCTTTTCCAACCTCCTTCCTTTCCCTGTTCGGGAGGTTTACCTCCCCCTCCTCCCTGCGTTTGGACGGGGGGGGCCCGACCCAGAGCAGCGTCCAAGATGGCCCAAGATGGCTCCAAGAAGGCTTCAGAGAGTGCGAGATCGCCTCCAAGGTGGCCCAAGAGAACAGTAGATGGCTCAAGATAGCCTCCGACACGCATCCAAGAGGCCTCAAGACGGCCCCAAGACGGTTTCAAGTGCCCTTCGAGCCCTCCGAGGACCCCCCCAAGAGGCCAAAATCCTTCAAACACCGAGGGAAGATCCATGTTTTTTGCCTTCTCGCTTTTTCACCTCCGATGGGCTCTTGAGGCCTCAAGGTGGCCCCAATACGGCCCAAGATAGCCCCAAGAGGGGCCCAAGAGGGCCCCAAGACGGCCCCAAGAGCGCCCAAGAGCGCTCCAAGAGCGGGCCAGGAGGGCCCCTAGACGGCATTGTTGAGCCTCCGAGGGGGGACAGGAGTTAAGGACCCCCCTCTTATTTAGCGAAAGGGTCCAAGACGGCCCCAAGAGGCCCCTCAGGCATCCCAACAGAGCCCCAAGAAGGCCCCCAGACCCCCCAAAAGAGCTCCAAGAGGGCCCCAAGACTCCCCAAAAGAGCCCCAAGGAGCCCCAAGAAGGCCCTAAGAGGACTTCAGGAGAGCCCAAAGAAAGAGCCCCAGGAGGCCCCAAGAGGGGCCCAAGAGAATCCCATAAGGGACCCAAGATGCCTCCAAGTTTCGGAACGCACGCGAGTCTAAGATACAAATCAGTGCAACAGCCATTACGAGTCATCGAAGCACCCCTCACCCCTCATCGAAGCACCATCGTTGCTTGCACTGATTTCCAGTTTAAACTTCAATGCGGGAAGCTATGCGTGATGCTCGTTTTCTCGAAGACGGCTGCGCGACTGCATGTGTCCTGCCGCCCCTGATTCACCAACTCCCCTGCTGATCGTTTCTGGATGGGCTGGTGGGGATGCGCGAAGCGTCACGAATTATTTGTTTGAAGCGTCGAATATCTGGGTACCCACCAGCATTGTCTTGAGGGCTTCTGGCGGCTCGGCCTCTCAGGGGCACCTCGGCGGCGTCGCGGGACCCTCTGGTGCAACGCGTGGGCCTCCAGGGGCCCCTCTTGTGACTCTCATGGTGTCTTTGCAGGGGCCCTGGGACACACGAATAAATACACACATAAAAAAACATAGTTTCCCATATGTTCTGGGTTGTCGTCTTCCCCACCACTTCCCATATTTTCCTAGGGATCGACGATTAATTGTGTCTGTGTGCTTTTCCCCCTCCTGAGTCTTGGGTCGTCCCTTGGGAGCATCCAGGGGTCTTCTGAGGGCCTGCAGGCCCCCAAGAAGCACGAGAGCACGTCCAATATGGACTCCAACCAGCATTCTGGGCGTGAGTGGTCCAACGAGCTCGCTCTGCTGACTCCCTTCCTCCCCTTCGGGGAGGAGGTTCCTCCTGCCCCTACGCCCTCCCCCTGGGTCTCACATGGCCCAAAGATGGCCTCCAAGATGGCCCCAAAGAGCCCCAAATGGCCTCCCAGATCGCTCAAGATATCGCAACATGGTTCAGTATAGCTGCCACCATGCCTCCAAGAGACCCCAAGACCGCTCCAAGGCGGCTCCTAGTGCCCTCCGAGCCTCCAACGGAGACCCCCGAGAGGCCAAAATCGTTCAAAACCCCAGTGTTTGTTCCCAACATGTGTGTTACATTCTCGCCGTTTTCGCTTTCGATGAGCTCTGAAAGCCTCAAGACGGCTCCAAGAAAGCTAAGACGGCGCCAAGAGGGGCCCAATAGTAGCCCAAGACGGCCCCAAGAGCGCCCAAGGCCAACCCAAGACCGCTCCAAGAGGGCCCCACAAGGCTCCGACGTCGTCGTCGTCTTCGTCGTCGTCGTCTTCATCGTCGTCGTCGTCGTCTTCGTCGTTGTCTGATGCTGCTTCTCTTTCCTCTTCTTCCTCGCCTGCGTTCCTCCCACACCTCCTCTTCCGCTCATCCCCCCATCCCTTCCCCCGCAATCGGCGCACAGAAAGAGTCCTCCACCTTTTCTCCTCCCCTTCTTCATCCCCGCCCTTCCAAAAACCCGCGAAGACGGATGCGAGTCACCGCTGGGCCGCATGCTAATACGCATCCCTGATCAGTGCAACTCGACTGGCGTCTGTTGTTGGATGGGCTGGTGGGAATACGCGACGTCTTAGGTCAGAATAACTTTGATTGATGAGGCGGCGGCGTCTTTCCCGCCATGCAAGGCCAGGGACCGGCTTGGTATCCACCAGCATCAAGCCCTGCTCCTGCACGGAGATCTCTTTTCGGGGGGGGGGTGCATCGTTCGCCTCGTCAAAGAGCCATGCACCACAAGGCCGGTCCCCGTCAGCCCCTGAATCGGGCGTTGGTAGAACTGGGTTTAGTGGAACCTGGTTTAGTGATCTGTACCAGGGGCGCCCCCCCGTCCAATTTCCACTGACCGGAACCGCCGTCACCCGAAAAACGGCAGCTACGGCAAACCTGGCTTAGTGATTCTGGCCGATTCGAAGGCTCCGGGGCCCTACCACTAACCGGGTCCCCTTACCCGGGGTCCTGGCCATACTACCCGACTGGAGAGCAGGCCTGGGGTCGCCCCCATAGAAGACACCCCGCTCTGCCACTCCAGCTGCCTCCGCCCGTGGAGACAGGGGCCCGGGGCTGCCCATGGGGCCCTCGTCGGGCGCCCTGGGCAAGCGCAACTTCACATAGGCCTCCTTGGGTACAGCTTTTCGGCAGTGCCGTGGCGAACACTTCAGCTAACCCCGGCGGCCACTGCAGCAGGGGCACGCCAAGCGCTCCCAGGAGCCCCTGTGGAAGCCAGAAGACCCCGAGGACGGGAGATCACCCGGGATGCAGATTCGCGGCGCGCAGAAAGGCGGGGGCGCCAGGTGAGGGCCGTCTCAGAAGGCAGGGGAGGCTTCTTAGCTTCTGCATCCTTCGAAGGCCACCCTTCTCACACCACCCCCATTGTTTGGGCGTCCCAAAACGTGTGGTGAAAGACTGCGCTGTGACCTCGAAGTCCCGAAGCACCACCGCACGGTCCGCCGCCGCACCGTTCGCGACCTCGGAGGCCCGCGTCGCACGAGACATCATCGGAGAACGACCCGAGTCCCAAAGCCGCACGGTCGCCCCAAATCCCCACTGACTCACCACACGGTGTGGTCACCACACCGTTTGAGGGCCCTCGGCTTGTGCTCGCCGCCGAGCACAGGAGCTCAGTCGCTCCTGGCACGGTCTCTGCGCCGGATCCCCGGAGCGCGCCTGGGGCGGCGCTGGAGGCGCCGCCAGGAGGGCCCAGCGCCGATCCAAGAAATCAGCGCGGGCCTCCGAAGGCCGACGCTTATGCCGTTTACAGTCGGCCCGCATCATTAAGATGCGCGGTAAGGATTCGAGGGCCTTGGAGGCCCATGAGAACGTGTTTCGAGCGAGGTTGGCCAGCGACCGTGACCAAGGATGGGCCGAACGGGCAAGGATGCAAGGGTACCCTTGGGAAGGCTGCCCATCCTTCCTATGCGGGTTGGCTGCATTTCTGTTCGGCAGCCGTTATTCGGCGGTGGACAAACCTCCCTCTAGTAAGCCTCCCCTTAGTGAAAACGGCCTGGGACCGAAACCGACGGACCTGGACCCGCAGAAATGACGGCCGCGACGCCCCCTCGCGAACCGAGAACGGCCAATTCCCTGATCGACGTGTCAGGGCAGGAGGTCTGTCCACCCCCGAGTCCTCCGAGGTGCCGCCGCGGGCCCTCCGAGGGTCGCCAGAGGCCGCCGGGGGCCGCCGCTGGCCCGAGAGCCCAGACCCACGACGTCGTGATGTGTTCATGACGTGGGCCAGGGCGGAGCCTGAGCGGTGTTTGTCGTTTCCGCTCTGGTTTCGTTTTCCTTCGTGTTGTGCTCAACCCGCCCTTACCGCAAAACGAAGTCAAAACGACATCGGCCCACGAAATCGCAAAAACATCGTTCAGGTCCAGCCCTGACGTGAACCCCGATGTGAAAAGGACCGCGGCGACCCACTGAGGCCGGGGCCACCCCCTCCGGGGCCGCCCGCGCGGGCTCCACTCTGGGCGGCGGCGCCGCGGCCGCGCCGCTGGGCGGCTCGCGGGCCGGCACCTCGCAGCGGCGGGGCGGGGCCCGCGGAGGGCAGCAGGCATCGGAGCGACGAAACGAAAAACGGGTCTTATCGGGGATGGACGTGGTTTAGTGAAAACGACCTGAGGCCCAAACCTGGCGGGCGCAAGCCTGGAAAATAACGGCCGCGGCGCCCTCTCGAGAACCGAAAACGGACCATTCACTAATCGACGTGTCACTGTTGGGGGTCCTGTCCACCCCCGATCTTACAGTGGGGGCGTTGACCTAAGGAACCCTAAAAAAGGAACGAGGCCCCTTTTTTCCACAAGTGAAACTTCGATGTCCCATCGAAAACCTGAGGAAAACCTGAGGCAAGCTGCGAAACACTTAAGGAACACGGAGCCCCTCCCCAACGAAAAGGGTTCCTTCTTCAGGACCCCTACTGTACCAGAAGAAAAGAACTGTATAAACATGCACTTTGGGCGCTCCGGGCGGATTTCTTGGATCTCCGCTGGACCCCCCTCCCTGGCGCGCGGAGCGCGCCAGGGGCGGCGCCGGAGGCGCCGCCGGGGGCCCAGCGCGGATCCAAGAAATCCGCGCGAAGCGCCAAAAGTTTATGCTTCTGCCGTGCTTACTTCTACGACTTACGCGAGAAGGCATGGCGACCTCACGCCCCGGTTTGCGCGGCCCGCCGGCGTGGCACACCGCGTGGAGAGGAGGACGCTCACGCGCGACCTTGCGCGGGCAGCTTAGACGCGAATGCCCGCGCCGCCGACCCTGTTTTCTCGCGTCGCTCACCGGGGTACGCCTCTCGGGCACGCGCCGGCATGGACTGCGGATGCCACGGGCGCGGCATGGGAAGGCGGAGCAGGGCGGAGCAGGGCGGAGCAGGGCGGAGCAATGCGGAGCAGGCATGGCCCCTGGCTTTGAGGAAGGAGGTGGAGGAGGAGGAGGAGGAGGAGGAGGAGGAGAGGAGGAGGAGGAGGAGGAGGAGGAGGAGGAGGAGGAGGAGGAGGAGGAGGAGGAGGAGGAGGAGGAGGAGGAGGAGGAGGAGGAGGAGGAGGAGGAGGAGGAGGAGGAGGAGGAGGAGGAGGAGAGGAGTAGGAGGAGGAGGAGGAGGAGGAGGAGGAGGAGGAGGAGGAGGAGGAGGAGGAGGAGGAGGAGGAGGAGGAGGAGGAGGAGGAGGAGGAGGAGGAGGAGGAGGAGGAGGAGGAGGAGGAGGAGGAGGAGGAGGGAGCTGCTGGGCCCAGAAGGCAGAGGGGCCGGGCGGGAAAGAGATCGGTGCCGAGGCCACCGGGCGCACGCGAGCATGGGCTGAGGGATCCGTGGGCCCGCCGCGCGTGCGCCAGCTCCGCGGATCGGGGGGGGCACCCCCGAAGCACGAGGCCAGTGCCGCGTGGTCTGGCGGCAGACCGCGCCGATCCCGTGGAAGTGGGGCCCGCCGCTGTTCCACGCGCCTGGAACCGAATACGGCCGCCACCGACGACCGACGACCGACGACCGACGGCCGACGAGTGCCGACTGCCGACTGCCACGCCAAGGCGAGCCGCGGCGCGGAAGAGGGGCAGCGTGCCACTCAGCACTGCCCTTGAGCACGGCGCATCGCGCCTTGGTCTATGTCCGCGCTTCCTCGAGTCTCTCCGGGGGTCAGAATTCGGGGATGGACAGACCCCCCTTTAGTAAAACGTGGTTTAGTGAAAACGACCTGAGGCCCAAACCTGGCCCGCGCAAGCCTGGAAAATAACGGCCACGGCGCCCTCTCGAGAACCGAAAACGGACCATTCACTAATCGACGTGTCACTGTTGGGGGTCCTGTCCACCCCCGAATAATGCCATTCCGAATAATGCCATTCTGCCTGTCGGAGGGCTCACTCGGGCCTCGGAAGCCCGCGGTCCCCAGCGCACCGTGGAGACCTTCCGGCACCAGCGCGAGAGCCCCAGCGAGCGAGACCCGGGCAGAGTCCGAACAGAAGGCTGGCCCTCGCAGTGTGCGCAGAAGGCAGCTGTCCGACGAAGTCATCCAAAACAGCCCCGCCCGAAGACCGAAGCAGGATGACGACGACGAAAAAGAGCGAGGAGGAAGCAGGAATCTCCGAGAGCAGGAGGTTCTGGGGTCTGGAAGATGTATCAGAAGCCGCGGCCGTCCAAGGGCGCTCCCAGAACGCACTGGCAAGACTCGTCCTCATCCTGGGGCTGCCTGAACTCTCCCCGCCCTGCTGGGCACGGGGGGCCAGGCGGGGGGGCAGGGGGCAGCGGGGCGCAGGGCAGTGGCCCCCCGAACCCAGACCTCGGACGCCGCGACCTCTGGGCGTTGGCGAACGGGCGGAGATGACACGGGGGGGAACAGGGGACGCGGTGACGCTGGGGCCCCCCGGCGGCGCCTCCGGCGCCGCCCCTGGCGCGCTCCGCGCGCCAGGGAGGGGGGTCCAGCGCCGATCCGAGAAATCCGCGCGGACCTCCGAGTTTCGATGTTTATGTGACTTTTTGTTCCCCCAGGGAAGGGGGAAGGAGGGGGGGGAGAAACGTGCACCTGTCGTGCCACGCGGTGGGCCACCGGCTGCGGTTCAGGGGCCCTTTGGCAGCCTTGCGGTGCCCGTCTCCTGCGCACCTCGAGCACCCCCTCCCCGATCCTTGACCACTCCGTACCGGAGCAAGGCGAGCTGAGAGAACGGCACCCCAAAACCGCTCCCTGGACCCCTCCACGGGGCCCCGACGCACGAGTGGTCCGAGCTGCGTCCGGCCACATGGCGACGAGGGCCCCCTGGAGGCCAGCCGCCGTGGCCTCGGCTCGCCCACCCAGGACGGCAGCCAAAGACCGCTCCACGGGGCCCCGACGCACGAGTGGTCCGAGCTGCGTCCGGCCGCATGGCGACGAGGGCCCCCCGAAGGCCAGCTGCCGTGGCCTCGGCCCGCTCCCCCAGGGCTGCGCCGGGCGCCCCACCTGTTCTCACGCCGCGGGCCCTGCAGCCCCCCCGGGGCCCCCTGCCCGCCCGGGGGCACCTTCGGCCAGGGGCACTTTGAGCAACCCCCGACGCTTCTTCCATGGCCTTCCCTCGAAGTCCGCCCACATCGGCCCCTGGACCCTTCCTCCTCCTTCTCCTCCTCTTCCTCCTCCTCCTCCTCCTCCTCCTCCTCCTCCTCCTCTCCTCTCCTCCTCCTCCTCCTCCTCCTCCCCCTCCTCCTCCTCTCCTCCTCCTCCTCCTCCTCCTCCTCCTCCTCCTCCTCCTCCTTCCTCTCCTCCACCTCCTCCTCTCCCCTCCTCCTCCTTCCTCCCTCCTCCTCCTCCTCCTCCCTCTCCTCTCCTCCTCCTCCTCCTCCTCCTCCTCCTCCTCCTCCTCCTCCCCCTCCCGCCCACGAGAGCTGGCCTCTCGCCGCGGGCCAGTGTGCCCAAAGGGCCGCCTCCTCGGGCCCCTCGTGGGCCGACCAAGCGGCCTCGGCCAGAGCACCTCCCTCCCAAGAGGAGAGGCCGCCCGTCGAGCGTCGCCGCGTCGTGCTGTGGCGCTGGAGGTCGGCGACGACGACCGAATACGATGGTGGCGGACGACGACGACGACGACGACGACGACGACGACGACGACGACGACGACGACGACCGACCGACCGACCGACCGACCGACCGACCGACCGACCGACCGACCGACCGACCGACCGACCGACCGACGGACGACAGCGCCCAAGAACCGTCGAATGGACGACGACGACGATTCCGGGGGGACAAGATAAGACCGATGCCACTACTCCCCCGACCATTCCACGGGTGCGTTCTGACCAGGAATTGAAAGCGAATCCAGCCGTGGCGACGAGGAGCGGCTAGCGGCGTCGGTACATTTCCCTCCTCTGAGGAGCGACGAAGACGACAACGAAAACGACAACGACAACGAAAACGACCGACGACGCCGAAGACGAAACCGAATACGGCGACGACCGACGACCGACGACCGACGACCGAAGACTGCCGACTGTCGACTGCCGACTGCCACGCCAAGGCGAGCCGCGGAGCAGAAGAGGGGAAACGTGCCATTCAGTGCGCTACCCTTAACCACGGCGCATCGCGCTGCAACTGCATCTGGCACGCGCAGCTTGAGCAACCTCCATGACAGCCACACAAATCGCACTCGATCCACCAGTCCATGATGGGCCACAATAAGGTTTGGTCGGACATGTCCTCCTACAGGCGGGTTTGGGGCGAAAATAAGATATTTAAAAATACCCCAAAATACTCAACAATGGCCGAAAAGTCGTCCCCAGACCAGTTTGCTGACTAATTTCAGACACTCCTCCTGTAGGGGGACATGCACGACTTATCGAGGAGGGGGGACCAGCTCAGGGGGGAACGCCTCGAGCTGGAATCGGCGATACCTCGCCGATGGATCGGCGATGGGCCCCCCGGGACAAGCAGATCCGCACGCTCGCTCCTGGGCGGGGCGAGCTGTCGGACCAGTATCGGCGATGTGTGGGCGACTCGGGCTCGATGCCTTTCCCCCCCCCTCCTTGGTTTAAGTCGGGCCTGTCCCCCTACAGGGGGATTTTCGATACAAAATTTAGAACTGCCAAAATATATTCAAAGATAGTCACAGTAAAAACCTCAACTTCGCTTGACGAAGGACCCAACCATATGCAGGTGTGAGTACCGCAATTGTGATTCTTTCGGTGGTGATCCCTATGAGACAACGAACCGTGCTAGGGGTGTGCCAACATGAATGGCGTGGTACACAACGCGAACGAAAACGGGCGCAGCGCAACGCGGAGTCCCCGCGACGCGCGCTGGTCGCCCCGGAGGGGTCCCAGCGACGAGCGCGGGTCGTCCGCTGCGCGGAGCAAAGAGAGCTAGCTGGCTGGCTGATAGCGGGCAAGGCTCTCGCCGCTGGGCAGAGCGACGACGGGCGAGCGAGGCGCTGGGCAGAACGTAGCACGGAGTCCCCGCGAAGCGCGCTGGTCGCCCCGGAGGGGTCCCAGCGACGCGCGCGGGTCGTCCGCTGCACGGAGCAGAAAGAGCTAGCTGGCTGGCTGATAGCGGGCAAGGCTCTTGCCGCTGGGCAGAGCGACGACGGGCGAGCGAGGCGCTGGGCAGAACGTAGCACGGAGTCCCCGCGACGCGCGCTGGTCGCCCCGGAGGGGTCCAAGCGACGCGCGCGGGTCGTCCGCTGCGCGGAGCAAAGAGAGCTAGCTGGCTGGCTGATAGCGGGCAAGGCTCTTGCCGCTGGGCAGAGCGACGACGGAACGCTGTACTGGGTGAGGGAAACGCAAGCGGACTGCGCCACGGGGACCTCCGGTGGAGCTCCCTATGGGGCCACGAAACGCGTGAGGGGTGGGCCGAAATGAATGGCGAGGGCGCATGGGGACTGTGCCACTGGGACCTTCGGCGGAGCTCCTATGGGGCCACTGAACGTGTGAGGGGTGTGCCGAAATGAGCGGCGGGGACGCATGCGGACTGTGCCACGGGGACCTTCGGCGGAGCTCCTATGGGGCCACGAAACGTGTGAGGGGTGTGCCGACATGAATGGCGGGGACGCATGCGGACTGTGCCACGGGGACCTTCGGCGGAGCTCCTATGGGGCCACGAAACGTGTGAGTGGTGGGCCGAAATGGACGGCGGGGGCGCATGCGGACTGTGCCAGTGGGACCTTCGGCGGAGCTCCTATGGGGCCACGAAGCGTGTGAGGGATGGGCCGAAATGAATGGCGGGGACGCATGCGGATTGTGCCACTGGGACCTTCGGCGGACCTCCTGTGGGGCCACGAAACGTGTGAGGGGTGTGCCGAAATGAGTGGCAGGGACGCATGCGGACTGTGCCACTGGGACCTTCGGCGGAGCCCCTATGGGGCCACGAAACGTGTGAGGGGTGGGCCGACATGA